GCAGAGTGTCATCTCACACACTCATCACAGTCTCAGGGCAGAGTGTCATCTCACACACACATCACAGTCTCAGGCTAGAGTGCTTTCTGTGGCCAGCACAGACACTACCAAAACAAATGAAACAAATGCAGCTGGAATCCCAACTGTTGTTGATGTGTGACATTTGCTAAGTAAGGCTTACGGAGAAGCCGGAAGTGGCTCCCAGCACTGTCATCGGGTGGGGCCTAGTTACTGCACAGCAGACAGGCAACGACAGTGCAACAGAACGTAAAGGGCTGCAGTGGGCACACAGCTGGTCGGTGGCAACACCCAAAGAAACAGTGAATACATGGTGGGGTGGGGTGGGATGGGGCGGAGCGCTCTCTCTCTCTGCAACCACAGTCCTTACCACAGCACCATCTGGGAAAGACAAGTCACTAAAGCAGCAGATGAAGGGGCTAGAAGGGAGCTCAGTCAACAAGGGCTTGTCGTGCAACCATGAGGCCTGAGTTTGACCTCCAGCTCCATGAGGAAAGCTGGGCATGGTGGCTGGCTCATGCCTCCCCAGGGCTGGGGAGGTAGAGACAGGTGGGTCTCAGATGCTCAGGGGCTGGCCAAGCAGCCCAATCAGCAAGCTCAGGCTTCAGGGAGAATCCCTGCCTCAAAAAAAAAAAGGCAGGGGCCCCCTCGGAGGAACAATAACGGAGGACGCCCCCCTGCCACATCCACACACCCCCAGATCATATCACCAGATCACATCACCCCCCCACCACCCCCACACCACACCACCCCCCCCCTACCACACCCCCCCCCACCCCCCCCCACCCCCCCCCACCCCCCCCCACCCCCCCCCACCCCCCCCCACCCCCCCCCACCCCCCCCCACCCCCCCCCACCCCCCCCCACCCCCCCCCACCCCCCCCCACCCCCCCCCACCCCCCCCCACCCCCCCCCACCCCCCCCCACCCCCCCCCACCCCCCCCCACCCCCCCCCACCCCCCCCCACCCCCCCCCACCCCCCCCCACCCCCCCCCACCCCCCCCCACCCCCCCCCACCCCCCCCCACCCCCCCCCACCCCCCCCCACCCCCCCCCACCCCCCCCCACCCCCCCCCACCCCCCCCCACCCCCCCCCACCCCCCCCCACCCCCCCCCACCCCCCCCCACCCCCCCCCACCCCCCCCCACCCCCCCCCACCCCCCCCACTACACACTAGCACAGTCACCCCAGGTACGGCATTGTCATTATGGGACAAAGCATTACTGTTGCTCAGCTATGCTGCAGCTGAGGCAGGACTAACGGGCTGAGCTTCCGGTCTGTCCCTGCTGTTCTGGGACAGAACTCCTGCTTGGGTGGCAAGGCATGCCATGTGGCTCCACTCCTTTCAAACAAAGACTTGTGTTTTTAATCGCATGTAAAGCATGTGTGAATGCGGGCTTGTGAGTGCAGTGCCCAGCTCGTCAGGAGAGGGTATCAGATGCCCTGGAACCGAGTCAGGTGGAAGCTGGGAAACAAAATGCAGGGCCCTTGCAAGAGCAGGGAGAACTCCCAGCTTCGGGTACCCTCTCTCGACACAGGCTCCAGTACTCTGAATCCTCCAGACCATGTGACCCACCAAGAGCCACCCAGAATCCGCAGAGAACTTGACTCCACTTAAGCACTGGGCCTGGATGTGCCCGGAGCCGGATACTGATCAAGACTTGTGACTTGTGAGATTTTCACTTGTGTTGTGGTTTCTGACACGCCATGATTCGCCTCTGTGTCCTGGGCTCTCCGTACCCAGCTCTGCAGACACCAGCCTGCACGTCCCAGAACGGTTCTCAGTGCTGAGTGTCCCTCAGGGCTTTTTGGGATGACCTGAATGCCCCTGTGAGGAGTTTAGAGGATGAAGAAGATATCCAACTAAGCTATCCTGAGGTGAGGACTTCTGGTGGGATGAGGGTGACATCATCTTACTTCAGAACTGTGCCAGCAGGAGGGTGCCACCAAATGTGACCCCTATAGGCTGTGCTCCCAGAACCATAAGCCCAAATCAAACTCCCTTCCTCGTAACGGCTACTGGCAACAGAAAATGGACCAGCACATTTTCTGGGAAAGACCAACCGCACAATACAACTCAGGGACAGACATCCCCCTGCCCCTCAGCTGCAGTGGGCAATGCCCTAAGATCTGCAAGGAACAGACAGCATCTCCTGCGGGGCTCTTGAGCTCCGCCCTGGAGAGCTCTGGTTAAGGCAGCATCAACAACATATCTCAGCCTTTGGCCAGCATCAAGTGAGCACACGGCCGCGGATCTCCTCAGCCTAGGAATGAGCTGGGGCGACACTGGGAGACGCACACACACCTGGCTGACTGCTGGGCCTTCTTTCCACACGCCCCCACTCCTCACAAAGGAAAACCTCATGTTCTTTCACCAGGGCGGACGTTACTCTGGGGACTGCCATCTGGGGTCAGAAGAAGCTGACTATAGCAGCCAATGTCCCACACATCCCGAGACTATCTGAAGTAACCGGACACAGACAAGGGCTTTGCTCAGCCATCACCAGGGAAGCTTCCTCTTGCAGCAGAAGGGAACTAAAGAGGAGACCCACAACTGGACCATGTGACCGTAGAGCACTCGGTCCTAAAGGGTGATGTCTTCAGCAAACCCCTCCATGCAGGGCTCAGGGCTGAACGTGAAAGAGGAGGGGAGGCAGAGGTGGAGAAGACTGGGAGAGCCAAGGCGGTGGATGACTTCCAGGAAACAGTGTCTTCCAGACACAACAGGACTGACACACACATGAACTCACAGACTGTGGCAGCACAGGGCCTGCACGGGTCCAAGCCAGATGGGGCCTCAGTGCCGAGAGGAGGAAGTGGACACAATTTCCCACCCCTAACCAAGAGGCCTTTCCAGTTGACATCAGCTCACATAAAGTTGGTTTTCCCGAGGGCAGTCTCCCTGGGCATATTAACCACACTTAAGGGAGCCCCACACCCTTAGCAGGTGGGCAACACAAAGTGAACTTAATGGTATTTCTGTCTCACATGGCTTTGTCTGAGCTTTCCCCACCCGTCAGCCTTCTGCTCATATATTATTGTTTTCTGACAATTTTGTGGTTTTTTGTTTGTTTTTTTGTTTTTGTTTTTGTTTTTTGAGACAGATATAGCTTTGGAGCTTATCCTGGCACTCGCTCTGGAGACCAGGTTGGCCTCGAACTCACAGAGATCCACCTGCCTCTGCCTCCCGAGTGATGGGATTAAAGGCGTGCGCCACCAACACCTGGCTAATTTTGTGTTTTTACGGTTTTTGGTTTTGTGTATCTGTACATGCTCGTGCTCATTTCTTGTGCTTTTCTTTTTTATCCTGTTTTCTTGTTTGTTTGCCTGTTTGTTTTCTAAAGAGAGAGACAGAGAGAGAGAGATCATGGAGTTGGTTGGGGTGGGGAGGATCTGGAATGAGTTGAGGGAGGGGAAACCATGACCAGAATATATTATCTGAGAAATTATTTTCAACTATATATATATGTTTGTGTGTGTGTGTGTGTGTCTATATGCATAAATATGTATACACACACATAAAACAGGCATGAACAGGTGCAGTCACTTAGCCCACAAGCGCATGTGTGCAGGAATGGGCGGGGTAGGCACCAGGGCCCATGCACGGGCTAAGGAGACAGTGTGCGTTCTTATGTGCTTACATGGGGTTTTCACTTTCCAACGCCTCCTGAAGCTCAACCCAGAGCAGCCGATGGGAAACACCTGGCGATTACAGCCTGATGCTCTCATTTATGTCAACACTGTGAGGTAATCACAATCAGGTTAACTGAATAACTCCCATTCCCACACAGACCCTGTGCTCTCCCCTTTGTGAACATGAAGGTGACTGAATGAACACCATCAGAACAGGTCGAAAGAGTGACACATGGTGAGCAATGCCGTGGGGAAGAGGGAGCATGAGGCAGGCTCCAGAGAAAAGGCAGAGGGCCTTTTACTTCAGGGGCACTCTGCTCCCTGGCTTGCTCTTGGACACGAATCTGTGCCTCCTACAGCAAACGTTTACATCTAGTTTACAAGACACGTCTACACTTGTAGGATGTCAGAACATAGCTATAGAACCCCATCTGGTGGAAGGAGGAGCTGGGTGCTGTCCTCGGTGTGCCCTGACTCTGGATGTGGTTTCTGCCTCGCTTTCATGCTCTCCCAGATCTAATCTACAGCACATGCCGGGCAATTGTGTTTAAATTTTTCTGTCCCGAGAAAGTTCTGGAAAGGGCTGCTCTGTCAATATTTAGTATGTGCTTACTGGCATTTATTTACATGTTTTCCTGCACTCAAGCAGCCTTCCTTGGATCACTGCTTTTCTGGTCACATCCATGTATAACAGGACACTGAAACTGAAATAAGGCTGTCTACAGCATCAGACTGTAGTCCGCCCCAATCTTTTGGGTCCTCAGACCCAGGTCTCTCTGCTACAGAACTGCATAGGTCAGTGAAAGTCGAAAGAACACTTTTTTCTTAAAAACAAAATCTCACACCCCCGGCTGCGGCAAGCATTTCTTCCCTACCCTCCTCCACATACCGTGCTCATCGTCTTCAGCGTCAGACTCTTCCAGAGAGACCTGAGGCTGGGCTCTCACCTCCAGGTTTCTGCTGAGCCAGCTGGTTTGTTCCAAGGAGGAGCCAGCAATGGTCCCTATCGCTTCCAGGATTTTCTGAGTGATTTCCTGGAGAGCCAGCAGAAGCAAAATGGGACATAGTGAAGGCAAAGGAAAGTTCAGGTCCAACAGAACAACAGGACACAGGCTACCATCGTGAGCCACTGCGGCACCATTAACTTCCAAGAGGCCAACAGTGAAAGGTGAGAAGCAACTGCGATGACAGATTTTAAAAACAGGCTCTCTAGGTAAGAGATATCAAATACAAACAACATAGACATTATTGAGACTTTGTAGCTTTTTCTACCAAGGGTTTGGTGCACTCACAGCTCGTGTGCCTCTGACTGCCACACTTCCCGTCTTCACTCAGCACATGGGGCTAATGGGGGTTGTTCTCTACAAGCTGCAGGCATGAGATACAGAGCTCAGAAGTCAGAGGACTGACGGGAAGGCTACACATGCACCCTTTACTAAGCTCCTGCACTAGCCCTACCATACTAGGCCAAAAGGGGACATGCTGAAGCCCTCCTCACTGGCATGGTTTGATGCTCCCCCTGCCTTAATCCCCATGCAGAAGCAAGGCAACATTGACCAACCAATTGCCTTCTGCTACTGCCTTGCCTCCCCTTGTCCTTCTGACAAGGAGAGCCTCTGGGGCTGTTTCAGCCTTCGGTTTTGTTTTCCTCAGTCTTTTACTGACTGCAGAACCAGCATCCTCGGCTGAGCAAACTGGAACCTTTACTCTAGTTGATGGGATGACTGCACCTGCCTTATTCTAGAGCCACAATAAAGCCAGCCAAGGTCCTCGCAAACTGCGCCGTATGCAGCAGCACACGCTTGGCATCCCAACACTTGGCAGACAGGGGGGCAATATCTTTATAAATCACACAGTGTACAGCAGTGCACGCTTGGCATCCCAACACTTGGCAGACGGGGAGAAGTACTGAGCTGGTGCTACACAGTCAGACTCTTATCTCAAGCGAAGATGTCTTTAAGATAAACTGCTGTAGTTTTGCATGAGAAATACATCTTTCAATAATATAAGAAAAAAACAAAATTAAGTAAATAAAGTTAGCCAGGTTGGGCAGGAGTGACCAGCCGTTTACAATTATCAGAGTCTGGCCAGGTTCTGGGCAAGAGCACTGTGCAAACATGAGGACCCGAGTTCGAATCTCTGGTACCCACATACCGGGTTGAAAGCAGTGCCTGTGACCCCAGTGCTGTGGGAGACAGAGATAGGATTGCTGGCTTTGCTGGAGGCCAGTCTAGCTCCAGGTTCAGGGAGAGGCCCTATCTCAAGGGAGTAAGGCAGGGAGTAGCAGAGGAAGGTAGCAAATGTCCTTCTCTACCTTAGCATGCATGTACATGGTGGAAAACACATGTGTACACCACACACACACACTCACTCACACATGCACACATACACACACTTAAACGCACGCACACATGCACACACACACGCGCGCGCGCGCGCGTCTGCTCAGGGACTGGGGTGTGGGGGTGTAACTCAGTTGGTAGAGTGCGTCATGAAGCCTCCTGGGTTTGATCCCCAGCACTACAGGAAGCCAAATGTGGTGGCACACACCTGCAGTGCTAACACTGGAGGGTGGAGGCAGGAGAATCACAATTGAAGGCCAGGCTGGGGTCTGTGAGCCTTTGTCTCAAAAAGGAAGAAAGATTCTGGTCAGCAGCTATGTTCACAGGGAGCCTGAGCAGGTTCCGACAACAATCACCATGTGTCACCAACCAGGAATAGCTGTGCTCTCGGACATCTGAGAGCGTGACAGCCCTAGTGTGACAGGAAGATCCAGATTCCACAGGACTGACGAAAACCCTGACTGTGGACAGTTGGGATGCTGCAGATCCACGGCCAATGGCTCTTGGGTTGCTTTTACTTCCCTCAACAGCCATTTTGCCACCATGTCTGAGCCAGCATCTTTATGGCTGGCTGTCAGGGAATATGGACTTAGCCAAATACTAGCTTCTACTTGTTCAAAAGTTCAGACATCATCAGTGTTTCACAGACACCAGTGTACAGCAGGCAGGAGAGAGCCTCACAGATGCCCCAGCAGGTGGCTCTCACACGACACAGCTTTCAGAGAAAAGTCCAGCCCAAGCCTGCTTGAATTTAGGACACCTGCAAAGCTAAGACGCGATTCTGCCAGCGGTTTGGAGCAGTGGCATTTCTAAGGACTTATGGACGGATGGCACTATGGGACTGCTGACTTTTCAGACATTCTCACATACACACCTGAAGGTCTTTTTGATCCTTCTTGCTTTCCGGGTTGGGTGTTCTGGTCACGAAGTCATTAAGTATGCTGTTGGGAGACAATGAGTGTTTTGGTCAGACTGTTAGAGAGATAAAACAACATATGTTCCTATAGAAAACACTGTATCCCCATGCCTGTGGAGACACCATACCTGAGAAGCAAAAAATACCCAGGGGGAGCCAGGTTCAGCTGCACAGACTCCTTCAGGACACCCAGGAGTGAAGGGAAGTTCTCCTGCAAGTCTGGTATCGAGAGCCTGTGTGAGAAGCAAACGCAGGGGGACAAGAGTCTCAGCATGGCAGGGAGCAGCATGCTCACTCAGAAGCACATTCTAGATGCGGAAAAGCACATGGGCCAACAGAGCATCTGACTAGCCCGACCATTGCCTGTTCTAGTTTTTACAGTCTGCGCAAGCTTGGTTTAGAACTGGGGCAAGCATCTGCAAGCTGGGGTACCTGGAATTCATCTTCTGACATGTGGGTACTCTGGGTTCCATTGTCCATAAAATAAAGGCTCAAGCGGCTGACCAGCTCTCACTTCTGGCCATGCTTGTCCAACACCGAGGACAGCATGCACCGTGGGTGGTCAGGATGCAGCTTACAGGAAGGTGACCACTGCCTTTGCAGCAGCGTGTGAGGAGGTTGCTGATGCCACCACTACAGCCAGGCACTGCAGCATGGTTGGCCAAAGCTCAGATGCAACCAGGGAGCCGCAGGCCCACACGCTGGTACCTACCTCACTACCTCCTGTTCCACCCTGGTGGCTCCTCCTCTGCAGCAGAATGATAAGAACCTATCATCCACTGGGCAGCTCAGAGCACAGAGGCCACTGGGGCCAGCTGGTGTTACAACAGCACTGGCTACATAGGGCCCAGGGCAGCTTGGTACACAGCTGGCACTTGGCTACGCTGCTGCCATAACCCTAAGGCAACACCTGACTCCAGGAAAAGGTCACAAATTGGGACCACCCAGGCACCATCCAGGAATGGACCATCCAAGGGGAAAACACCTAACATTCCAACCATTGTAGATAGGATCACCCTTAGCCCAGAACACACCCATCCCCTTTCACCAAGACACCCCTAGACAAATGTCAGCCAATCAGGGGTTATGAACCTTAGAAATCCCTTACCCCAACCTCTGCTATGATATAAAAAAATGACCAAACAAACACCCCAACTGAGCTTGAGACTCTCTGATTGTGCCAATGCACTGTATGAACCTTAGAAATCCCTTACCCCAACCTCTGCTATGATATAAAAAAATGACCAAACAAACACCCCAACTGAGCTTGAGACTCTCTGATTGTGCCAATGCACTGGACACATGGAGGGTCCAAGTTCGAACTTGAACAAAAGCTCTCTGCTTTTACATTTGGGATTTGGTCTCCTTGTTGGATTTTGGGGGACTCCAGATCTGGGCATAATAGCTATCCCTAGGAGTGGCATGACTAGCCAGGAGTGAATTTAATCATCAACCCAGTGACTGCTGGGATTCCAGGCCTTTTACCGTTTGCAGATGTAATGGTGAAGAGTGGGCCTGGCTGAGATATTAACTGTGTGAGCCAAGGAGACTGCACTGGGTTATCAGGATTATTTACTGTGAACCCTGCCCCCAACAACCCCAATGACTCATGTGTTTCAACACGTGTTTTCCAGGTGGTGGCACTGTTTTGGGAGGCTGTGGGATTTGGGAGTTAGGAGGCTGGCTGCGTCCCTTCCATCCCTCACTCAGCCCAGCACAGACGGCTCTATGCAAGCTGTACCAGGGATGTAGCTAAAGAGGCCCAGCTAAGCGCTCTTTGCATGCTGGGGAATCCCCTGCATACCAGTCTCAGTCCAGGCTGAGACTCAGCTGAGTAAACCAAACCAGAGGTCACCAGGCATAAACCACAGCACCCAAAGCCACCTCTCCTTTTTCTGAAAGGGGCCTTACACTTTCCTAGCTGTGGGTCTTTCAAGTCAGTTTCATATAAATCTGAACCTTTTAGGGCTTAAAAGCCCTCATGTAAAGCTTTGCTGACACATACCATTCATTCATTGTGCAGCACATGGATTTTAACAATGTCAGCTCAGCTCTTCAGAGAAAGAAAGGTATAGATACTGAGGCCACACCCCTGCCCAGGGAGTGGTGCATCAAGGCATGTGGGGCACTGCCATGCAGCTGTGCTGGAGGAAAGAAACACCTTACCTCTGAATGAAAGCGTAGCAGAACTGCAACACAGGAATGTCCACCAAGGGCGACTTCTGAAAAGGAAGGCAACACCGTCACCCAGGCTGGTAGGAAGGGGGACTGTTGAAGAACTTAACAGAAAACTCAAGCTGCTGTGGTCTGAATCTGAACTGTCCCCCACAAGCTCATGTTATACACACTGGTTCCCTAAAGGGAAGTGCTTGCTATTCAGGAGTCTGTGGGGACTTTAGGAGTGAGACCTCTCACTGAGGGGGACGACGAATGTGTGAGGGCCACATCCTGGCCCCTGGATGGGTCTCTCTTGTCTCTCTTCCTGACTGCTGTGACATGAACAGTCTCCACACACGTCCCTGCTGCTACCATGAGCTGAGAGTGGCTCTGCCATGCCTACCATAATGCATGGAGCCTTCTGAAGCCATGAGCCAGGTATGTCTGTCTTTTCTTCCTAAGTGGTCTGTCTTGTAATCAAGTGATAAGAAACCAATAATAAAATGGAGATTTGAGCCAAAGAATCCTTCATGTAAAACGCTAGCACACACCTAGACAGCTGTGCCTGTACAGCCCCAGCTTCCCTGATCAGGAAGAGCTTGCCCTGCCTAGGGCTCAGATTTCCTTAAGGTCCAAGTAGTGGAAATTACAGAAAAAATGGTTCCCGAACACTTTTTCTCCTTTCTTAGAAAGCTACTTATAGAAGTTGAACTAAAATAACCAGTAAAACACAAAATTTCCTTCAGACAAATAAAATCTAGTTCCTTTTTATGCCCACCAAACAAGAAATCACAGTTTCCTATAGGCTTTCAAGTAACCAGAAGAAATGCTACACAAAAAGCTACCTTCTAATCATTTTCAACTTGCCCTGGAGAAACTTTCTTGGCCAGGTGTTGACTTTGTACTATAAGAGCTACGGCCCTCAGCACTAATTGCTTCCTCTAACACCTTCACTCACACAAGACCCTTGAGTGTCACTCAAGTGGCTGAAGAGAGAGATCAAGGTGGCCGCAAGAATCCTGTTTACCCCAAGGGTCTCTGTGCACAGTTTCCCGGGAGCTCTTCCTCCTGAGGACTAGTAACACACTGGCTGTCCCTGAGTGTGTGCCTTCTACAGCTTGGAGATGTCTTTCTCAGGGACATGTGGGCCTCCTGAAGTAGGACCATGGGGAGCCTGACCTATGTTTCTTAGGCTCTGTGGGAGGGTCAGGTCTAACTTCCATGAACACATGAGAGCAAGTCCAGATGGACTAAGCTCACACATGGACCCCCTCCTGCCTGTCCCACCTTCCCTGACTCATTTGAGCTCCTTTTTGTCACCAATACACACAAAAACCAGAACTGAGCCCAGCACCTCCCCCTCTGCCAAGGTGGCGGCTACATCATGTGTGCCAGGATCCTTTGTTTACTTTCCAACTCTCTCTGGCTGTGGAGCTCCTCCTTCTGAAAACTGTTCCCTAGTGCACAGAAGGTGCTAAGAAGAGAGCACCAGGCAGTGTGTGTGGCAGCCGGGACAAGCAAGCTAACCTCAGGTAGCTCCCACCTCTGACAACAGCACCAGAGCCCCGTAGGCCACGCCCACAGCACAGTGACAGTCCTTCATTACAACCCAAGAATCCTGCATTTGCCCCTGGGTCACAATTTATAGGAAGTATCATCAGGAAGGACGCCCTACCCGGAAGTTCCCAGAGTGAACTCACCTCATCCCCCTTGATCTGCAGTGGTCTCTTCACCACCTCCTTCACCAGCTGCAGCACCGAATCTGTCTGCAGGGTGCTGAGAGCACAAACCAGGTCGACAAGTGTGTGCTGGGATGCACTTGCCATGGGGACTATCTGTCCAGATGAGAAGAATGCCTTGAGGGCTCGTAGGAGAAAATAAAAATAAGATGGTACACACACAGCCTTCCACAGTAGCTACCACTGGAGAAAGAAACTTAGCTTTCACCATAGTGTGTATGGAGGTATGTACATGTGTGAATCCATGTGTGAATATGTGCCTGTGTGCGAGTGTGTGCACACGTGTGTGTGTGCATGCATGCAAGTGCATGAGTGTGTGCCTGTGTGTGAGTGCATGCGTGTGTGTGTGTGTGTGTGTGTGTGTGTGTATACGTGAGTGTGTGTGCATGTCTGAGTGTGTATATCAGTGTGTGCCTGTGTGTGAGTGTGTGTGTGAGTGTGTGTATGCGTGAGTGTGTGCGCATATGAGTATGTGTGTGTATGAGTGAGTGTGCGCGCATATGAGTATGTGTGTGTATGAGTGAGTGTTCGCGCATATGAGTATGTGTGTGTATGAGTGAGTGTGCGCACATATGAGTGTGTGTGCGTGTGCGCGCACGTGTGCGTGTGGAGGCCGAGGTTGAGTGGCTGTTCTCCACGATTATTCTCTGCCTTTTTGTTTTCATCTTATTTACCATGTGAGAGCATACATGTAGGAGAGCTGTGTGTCACGGCACAGCACTACCGTGAGGATGAAGAGGTGAGAGTACAGTCTGTGGAAATCAATTCTCTCCGACCATGGGTCCCGGGTCATCACACAGGGCAGCCGCACGCACATTCGTGCACGAGCCCTCTGCCAACCCCTCTCCGTCCCATCTCACCTTCGTCTTGCTGTGGCGCCGAGCTTGCTTCCTGCTCCACACTGTAGCCACGGCAGCTATCAGCTGAACCCCGAGATGGGCTGTCAACGGGTTCAGCAAATCTAAAATCTTTTGTCTTATGGTCTGGAAAACAGAAGAAGCACAGAGTTAATTGCAAATAAAAAGGTCTTCACGAAGCTGTTGGGAGCCAAATCTCAGTCAGGGCTTGGCATGAGATCCTAGGCCATGCTTGGCCGGCCACTTAGTTGTATATTAACCTTTACATAGCAGCCTCTTAGAACCTCAGCTCAAGAAAAGAAACAACTTGACTCAGTCTTCCACCCACAGGCTCAGTCTCCTAGGCAACCCTTCCCTGGACCTCTTACTCATGAACTCTTTACCCTGCCAAACATCCTCTTTGTGGCTTCCTAATATCCTGCCTACACTAACACCTGGCTCACAAACAACCCGTTCTACCCCTCCCCATAGCTTGCTCTACTGACTATATAAGCTAGCCTGAGAAAAGTAAAGTTTGCCACTTGACCAGAATCCTGTCTTGTGATCGTTCTTTCTGCGTCTCTTGTCCCCCTTCCCTATCCCTGACTCTCTTGCCCCAGGTTGCTGTCCTGCAGGTTGGGACAGGAAGCAGCACCAGGCCCTCACTGGGTGAATGCTTAGCTGCCATCTATGGTGAGAAATGACTGAGAATCCCAGGAGAGTGTTTCACAGCTGAGGGGACCAGGACAGAGGAGGGGGCAGAGACCCCCTTGTTGTAAGAGTTGTATATGAGTTGGGGCACCAAGGAAGGCACAGCGAGGGGCCAGGAAGGAGGAACAGTGACGTGAGATGCTTGACAGGTCTTGAGGTGGTAAATATTCCTGGTCACGAGTGTTTGTGTGGGAACGACTGTGGTGTGTGTGTGTGTGTGAATGAGTGTGGTGTGTGTGTGTGTGTGCGTGATTGTGTGTATGAGTGTGGTGTGTGTGTGTGTGAATGTGGTGTGTGTGTGAATGAGTGTGGTTGTGTGTGTGTGTGTGAATGAGTGTGGTTGTGTGTGTGTGTGTGAATGACTGTGGTGTGTGTGAGGGTGTGAATGAGTGTGGTGTGTGTGAGGGTGTGAATGACTGTGGTGTGTGTGAGGGTGTGAATGACTGTGGGGTGTGTATGTGTGAATTACTGTGGGGTGTGTGTGTGTGTGTGAATGACTGTGGGGTGTGTGTGTGTGAATGAGTATGGTGTGTGTGTGTGTGAATGATTGTGGGGTGTGTCTGTGTGTGAATGAGTGTGGTGTGTGTGAATGACTGTGGGGTGTGTGTGTGAGCGCGTGTGTGAATGACTGGGGTGTCTGCATGTGCACCTATGGATGTGCGGGTCGGCGTGCATCCCTCTGGAGTACTAGAAATGCAATCAGGGTCTGGAGCAAGCATGGCAAACACTCTTCCACTGAGCTGTGCGCCTTCCTCGTGGAAACCCTACAGCCTACATTTCTCTCCGGCAGCTGGGAGAGAGCTTAGACCCACCACAAAAGTGAATTTTCACATTCTGAAAGTATACAGCAGTCACCAAATGGTACCCATTAAGCTACTCAGGACAAAGCTGTAACCTGGCCCTAGCATCTCTATATTCTTCTGCCACTGGCTTCTCCAATTCCTGAAAGCAGCCACTCTCCCTGCCCTTTAAGCCTGCAGCCCTCCCTGCCCCAAACACTCTGGTCCCACCTTCCTTCTGACCCTGGTCTCAGATCCACCCTGAGCCCAGGACTGCACCCTCCCTAACGTCACAGAGCGGCCAGCTTCACGCTGTCAGAGCATGCTGTCTTCCTCTGCTCATCGCTGGCCTCTGCCAGGAGGGCAGGGGCTCTGTCTTACTGACCCCCAGGAGCATGGGCAGAGGTCACTGTGTCCTCACTGACCATCACGTCACAGTAGATGAGCACTGAGAAAGCATTTTCCTTGACTGCAATCAGTCCATCTGCCCATGAGGCAGGGGAGCCCCGCAACAGCCTAGTCTTCTAGACAAGGACCCCGAGGCTCACACACAGTGAGTACAGGACGAGGAGCCCGAGGCTCACACACAGTGAGTACAGGACGAAGAGCCCGAGGCTCACACACAGTGAGTACAGGATGAGGACCCCGAGGCTCACACACAGTGCATAGCACAAAGGGTTTTCTGGACCTACGTAGAGAACTAGCTTTCTGCAAGCAGCATGAACCAGCACAGACTTCCTTTTGAGCATACCCACTGGGTTCAATTTTCTTGCAGAGATGTGAAGATCTGTTCACCATGTAAGGGCACCAATGACAGACCAAAGAAATGTTGTCACCCAAGTTCAGCTTGGTAGACACAGGAGTTTGCTCACGATAGTCTCACCTTTAGCCTGGAGACCACACAGACGAGGCGTGAACTCACAGATACCCCTCTGCCTCCACCTCCTGAGAGCTGGGATTAATGGTGTGTGCTACCACACCCAACTTGTTTTTCAAGAATCCAGTGATTCTGAATTTTATTTACAATCAGTGTGTGTGATGCATGACTGAGAGGACACACACGTGTGTATCACAGCACATGTGTGGAGTTCAGAGGACAAGCCTCAGGCATCAGACTATGGTGTGAGTTTGGAGGATCAGACTCAGGTCACCAGGTCTGAAAGGCAGGCGCTTCTACCCACTGAGCCATCCCACCAACCCCCAGTGAGCTTGAGAGGAGTACATGTGAGAGGGAAATCTCCTCAGGGAGGGGTGAGCGCCACATGGGTCTCTCGTGCCTCTCCACCTCCGAAACACACACACAAGGGAACGTTAGTGGGCCCCATCTTGCCAGAGTCTCATGGAACCAATCACAGCTGCTCTGACTTCAACACGGCAATGGCCATGCTGTGCCCAGAGGACAGCACTCTACACAGCACTCTGGAGCCGATGGGACAGTCCATGTGTACCGTCATCAGAGCATCTGAGATGTCAGCGCCACCAAGAGCTGATGAGTGTGAGCCTGAAGGCCATGCCTGGGGTACCCACCTCCTGTGCTAGACAATTCTGAGCCACCATAGACAGTAACAGATAATCACAGACCAGCTGGTGTGCCCAGCCAGGCCCTTCTGAGACAGATGTGAAAACCAACGGAGTCCATGTTTTGGGGGTGGCACATTTAATAATATAAACTCTTACAAGCACACTGAAGGCCCACACTGGAGTGCCCAGGCCTGGGACACACGTCTAAGAGACAGGCCATGTTAAGTGGGACTCCTTAGACACTCAGGTGAGGACCGAGTCTAACCATCAGACTTTGGTTTCATCAATAATGAGTTTTCAACAAAGGACGAAACCACTCACTCCTCTGTTGTGTATAAAAATAAAAATGTTTGTTTTTGTGAAAAGGGGCCTATGTGAAGGTGGCTACAAGCTCAATTTGTAGCTGAGGCTAGACCTACTCTCAAATGCTGAAAATTACCAGCATGTGCCACAGTATTATCTTAAGGGGAGATTTCTCCATCTCATTGGGACTGTGGGTCACACTGAACATTTTTTGTGATTTGTGTATATGCTTCCATATATACACATTTTTCTTCTCTGTCTACTGAGATAAGGTCTGGCTACATAGCCCCAACTGGAACTCACCGTGCAGACCTAGCTAGATTCAGACCTGCAGCAATGTTATTCCTCTGAGTGATGGGAATGCAGGCACGTGCTGCTCTGCCTGGCTTACAGAGACAAAAGAAAAAAGCCAGAGAAGGAATCGGCACAGTGACATATGTCCAGCTGTAATCCCAGCACTCGGGGGACCCAGGCACGTGCAGGCCAACAAACTCAAGGAAGGCCTCTCACCTTGGTGGTTTTGAAGTAGACGGAGGAGGATCCTTTCGTGGCTCCCAGGAGGTCCACGGGTCTCTTCTGAGTGTCCTCCTTTCTGAGGACATTCCAGATAAGGGCCATGGTATTCACAATTCGGGGCAGCTCTTCCAAGATGGCGTTCTTGGCATTCCTCAGGTTGATTGGGTCACTGATGGCAGCAGTCTGAAAGTTCAAATGGCGCACAAGGCTCACTGCACCAGCCAAGTCCCCTCTCACCTGCCCGGATTTAGGGCCACTCATGTGGTCCTCTGGAAGTGACATTTGTCCCTGTATGTGTCAAGCCACTACTTATTTTCAGAGAGAGACATGCAAGAGAGACATTCAAGAGTTGACATGCAACACTTCAAATTATAAACCTTTTTTTTCTTTGTCCGGGTTTCTGGCCTTGAACTAAGAGATGCACCTACTGCTGCCTCTGGAGTGCTGGGATCAAAGGTGTGGCCACCATGCCTCGATTAAACAGTAGGTGTACTTTAAGACTGTGTATTGTTTAGTTTTTTAAGAGAGGGTCTCATGTAGTCCAGACTGGTCTCCAAATTGCTACTTAGTCAAAGATGACCTGGAACTCTTGACCCTCCTGTCTTCACCCAATAGTGCTGGCAGCATTGTAGGCATGTGCCACTAGGCCAGCTTTTGTCCTAAGACTCAGCTAGACAGGGTACAGCAGCCTCCTCAGATTCACATCAGGGGTTTTAAAAAAAATTAGACTAAGGTGAGTGCAGGGCACAGGAGATGGTCCAGGGAGCAAGAAGAGAATTCATTGCGCAAGCATGAGGACCTGAATTCAAATCCCCAGCATCCACATAAACAGTTGGACATAGCTGTGTATGCCTGTAGTGTCAGTACTGGGGAGGGAAAACAGGCAGATCCTGGGGCTCACCAGCCATCTAGCCAGACTAGCCAAAGTGGATAGCTTCCGGTTCACGGAGAGGTAAAAGGCAGAGGGCAATAGAGGAAGACACTCAATTCTTCCTCAGGCTTTCATATGCACATACACAGGCTCATAAATCTGCCCACGCATGCAACACACACACACACACACACACACACACACACACACACACACTCACAGACACCACACAGACACACACACACCACACATACACGCACACTCATGCACATGCACAGACACAGACACAACACACACACAGACAGACACACACCACACATACACACACACACACACACAATCACGTACATGCACAGACACACACACACACACACACACACACACACACACACACACACACACACGTCAATATAAGCCTAAAATCAAACAATCTGCTTTACATTTTATCCCCATTTCCAGCTGATGGAACAATGAACTCACCCACACTGGTTTCCTGTGTGTGTGTACCTATGTGCGTGCACATCTGCATATGACACATATATTTGCATAATGTGCATACTTGTAGAACTCACGTGTGTATTACACTCTTACTTGCATCTCTTACATACATTTACATGACATTTCATCATGTGTTACTATTGTATACTTGACACAGTCACAACCCAGTGAAGACAAACAATACAAGCAATCTGCCCCAAACTCAGGGGAAAGAAAATGTACCTTTTTGTGTTGGGTGGGCTGTTCCAAAAGACAGAAATGGCTAATGGTTGTTAGACCTTCTAGAAGAGTGAGTGGGTAATCCGGAGAGATGTTTTCCTTTTTTGAGGTTGTGCTGTGGCGAAGAAATGAGAAACTGTTAAACAAAATAATTGGAAGGAGACAGCAAGATTGCTCAGTGGTGATGACCTGAGTTTGATTTCTAGAGCCCACTTAGAAGGGAAGAACTGACTCCTAGGTTGTCCTTTAAAACACACACACACACACACAGAGCACACTGCACACACACTTAACTGGTCAATAAATGTTAGAAAAATATTTAAAACAAGACACTGGACTGTGATAGGGATCCTAAAGTATGGATCTTCATGGTTGGTGGCTTCTGGCAGGGGTGGGGTAGGACTCGGTTTTAAGGGCTGGCCACTGGAGTTTGACCAAGCTCCAGTGAGTATGTGGGCAATACAAATTGGACTAGGTATTTCTTTTTCTTCTTTTCTTTGGGGGAAGTCATAATGCAGGGTGGGGGGGGTGACTGGGAAGTGAATGTGTTCAAGGTGTAATATGTGAAACTCCCAAATAACCAATAAAAGTATTATGTTGGGGAAAAAATGAGACAGTTTTTGAGAATTTAAAAGATCATGAAGCCATGAAGGTTTTCAGTCTGATACTTAAACACAGAAAGTAGAGAGAGGCCACTATGTTTGATGACCTGGGGCTACCAAAACAAAATGTACAGGTGTCTTTGTGTTCTTTTACGCTTATGAAATCACTATGGAAGAATGGTTTAAGGTGTTTTAGAGTTACTCTGAAGTTGGTTTTGGTTTTGTTTATTTCTATTTGGTAAAACTAACAGACTCAACTGACAGGAGACTCTGAGACGGCCTGGGTAGCTGGGTGGGGTTTAACTTAATGTCACTTTGAGGCAGGGTATCGTGTGGCACAAACCCCACCATGTGACCAAGGAGGGCCTGGTGCTGGTCATGTGCAGTGCTGGGGACTGGTTTCTAAGTCTGCCAGGCAAGCATCCTACCAGACCGTGTGGGGTTAAAGCCAAGGATCCAAACACACGCCCTCCTGATGACAACGCTCACCACCCTCCTCACTGGGTTGCACTATCTTCCAGTCGATGCCCCTCACAGACCCTGCCAGGGGAGAGAGCATCAACTTCAGCGTACCTGACGGACAGCTTGACAGACTCGCTCTCATACTGCTTCACCAGCTCGTCCAAATTTTTGCAAATCTGGATAACAAAGGGTGTCACTGTCCAGCCCAGAGACTTTCCAAAGTACGGTAAGGAGTGTGTGACCAGGCTCACCCAGGCGGGGTGCATGCCATACCCATAGGCAGGCTGCAGACCCCTCACCACAGCGGAGACCAGCAGGCCCTGGGAGGGGAGGGGGTGTGGCTGCACGTACTGCATGGCACCAATGGCCTGCTGAAAGTTGAGGGCCCTCTGCCACTCTCGGGACAGGGCCGGCTGACTCTGGGCATCCTCCTGACCCTGGCCCAGGTGGTGCTCCAGGACGATCAGCGCTTGCAGAAGCTTGAGTAGCTCAATCTGCAGCGGGTGCTCGCTCCAAATTTGGTCCTGCCCCAGGTTGATGAGGCTCTCCTCAAAGAGGCTGACCTCCATCGGGACCCTGCCTCGGTCAGCGGTGGCCAGGCCATAGCGCTTCTGGCTGGTATACATGGATGCCGACAGCGAGAGCAGGACAAACTCCTGCACCTTGCACTTCTGCAGCAGGCTGTGGATAAACTCCACATTCTTCCCTTCTGAGGACTTGGCCACCGAGACCAGCTGTGTCGTTATCCTGATCAGGACCTCCACACTCTTGACCTGCACGTCGCGGTTGCCAAGGACGTCCCTGTGGCAGACCTTCAGGTAGCAGGGGTAGTAGGAACGCAGGAAGCTCAGGCAGAGGTAGGTGAGGAGCTCAATTAGCAGCGAGTGGGGGCACACATTGGGGGCCTGGGTCTGCAGCTTGCCATAAAAACTCTGGCCAACGAGAGCCTCCTGGTGGCGTGCCAGGAGATTGGAGATGAGGTTGAGGTGAGCGGTGGAGCTGGTGTCTATGCCAGTCCTGGACACGGCCTCGATGAACTCCTTGGGGTTGGTCTTAAGCACAGCCTCCAGCACAGAGAAGGCATAGAGGACCCTCTGGGAGTCGTAGGGCTGCAGGTAGAGCAAGATGTGTTTGAACAAGGCCTCGAGGGACTCCTGCTTCTCCTTCTGCTGCCTCAACAGCCTCGATGTGGTGGTAATGGCTTGGAGCTCCACATCAGCCTCCTCATCGCTGGAGAGCGACTCGGAAGCCTGTGTCTTGTCAGAGTCTGCTCGCACTAGGCCTAACTTGGCACTGGACTTGAGGCTTTCTGGCTGCAAGGTTGGCAGCAAGGCTGCTCGCTTCGAGTAGGCCTTGCCCCCGATGGGTATGGGTGCACAGCAGTTCTCCTCGTGGCTCAGGTCCTGTAGGTCGTGGGAGGGAGATGAGAAAGTGGACGTGTTTTCACTGTCAGTGTGGACAGAGCTCGTGTCTGCAGACTCCGTGTGCTCGCTGCTGTCAGGGCCACAAGAGGCTATCCTGTCTGGAAGGTCCATGTAGTAGGGCATGTCTTCCTCGCTCAAATCACTTCTTGGTGGGCATTTTTCTGGTTCCTTCTCTACTTCAGCCCAGATGGCTTCACGATCCACTGTGGTGAATTGGCCAAGAGGCAGGTGCTCCTCAGAGGTGCCCTCTTGCGGCTCAGATATCCCACACGCCTCTTTGAATGTGTGCCTCTTCCTGTTAAACCAACGATGTAAGTCCTCTGGAAATGACAAAATGACAAAGGACTTCAGACCAGAATGGTGAGGGATGACAAATTAGCTCTGGGGTGATCTTAAAGCAGACAATGCACATAGGAACTGCGCCCAAGTCTAGATTGCATCAGGGGCAAAACAGACACACTGACATAAATATGTTTAGCTAGGAAGGATGGCTCAGTCTTAAGAGTGCAGAAGGCCCTGTGTTCAATCCCCAGCACGGTATAAAGCTGAATGCTGGCAAACACAGACACATCGGCTCTTCAGAAAACACTCAGGAGACTGTGACACTTAGTTCCACTGGCACAGGGTTATTATAACAACTTTGGTTTTGTTTTTATTTTCTGACAAAGTCTTGTAATACAGCTCAGCTTGTCTTCATTAACAGTCCCCCAAGGGCCGGGGCCTGTGCTGTGGGCCCTGTATCTGTTGCACACATCATTTTTTTTTTTTTATCATATATTTCTGGGAGAAGGCACTTTGAAACCCTCAGAAGCGCACTCCACAGAAACATCAGCGTGTTTCAAACCTTGAGGACGGGGCAGGCACTGAGAGCTGTGAAGAAAACAGGAAAGTGAGCCCAAGACCCACAAAGAGGTTTCAGGGAGCTGGTTAGCTGCATGCCTGTGACAGGCTGCTGCTGACTGCTGGGCATGCCTGGGCATGCATGGGTTGCAGGACATGTGGAAAGAAGACCCAGCTGCTGGACAGCTCTACAGCATGAGCCCGGTTGGGAGAGTGTCCACGACACACAGCTATGAAAAAGAGCAGGGGCGGGTGGGGCATCGGCAACCCGCCAACAGCACCCAGCTCATCAACGGGCATTGCTGGTAATGCCTTTACTTCCGAATTTTTGTAGGGTGCTTTTACTGTGTGTGTGTGTGTGCGTGCACATGTGTGTGTACATGTGTATGTGTGTGTGGAGGATGCACATGTATGTGTGTGTGGTGTTTGTGTGTGTATGTGTGTGTGTGTGTGTGTGTGTGGAGGATGCACATGTATGTGTGTGTGTGGTGTGTGTGTGTGTGTGTATGTGTGTGTGTGTGTGTGTATGGTGTTGTGGTGTTGTTAGTTGTGTTTGATGTATGTGTGTGTGGTGTGCATGTATGTGTGGTGTGCATGTGTGTGTGATGTGTATGTGTGTGTGGTGCATGTATGTGTGGGGTGCGTGTGTGTGTGTGTGGGTGTGTTGGGGGTGTGGGGGGTGTGTGTGTGTGTGTGTGTGTGTGTGTGTGTGTGTGTGTGTGTGTGTGCTCAAATGCATGTGGGCATGTGTGGTGGCCCGGATGAATCAGCTTCAAAGTCTACCAAGTGCTGGAATTACAGGCGTGAGCCACTCTGCCCGGCCACTATCTAATCTTTAAAATGAGTACACAAACACTTCTGTGATAAGGAAATATACAGCACTTTTAAATATCAACCCTCTTTTTAAAAGAGGTAAAAATGGAAAGATTTTGATACTATGAACATTCTTGGCTAAGCATCTTTCAGCAAGTCTATGCCACGAACACAAGCAAGATAGGGAGAGGAAGGAAACGCAGAAATCAGAGGTGGCTAGTCTGCCAGGCACGGTCCACGGCAGCACAGGCCAGGCCAGCTGCAGCAGACGGGGGCTTCTCTTTGTTCACTCTCTCGAATTAGCAGGGAAGGGGCTGCATCAGCACCAGGCAGAAGGCGGGAAGTCATGAGGCAGTGCAGAGACAAAATGCAAAGAACCCGTGCAGGGAACTTTTTAAAAAGGAAGAGGAGGGTCGGGGGCTGTGTGACAAGACAACTCTCTTGTTACAAAGCCGGAGGACCGGAGTTTGACCCTTGGTGCGTGCCTGGTGAAAGGAAAGTAGAGTTCCTGCAAACTGACCCTCTGACCTCTGCACACATGCCATGGCATGCTTGTATCCATACAAGTACATGTGTGGGGGCACACACATGTACATTCACACACACGTAATACATGTAAAACAAAAGACAAAAGAAATACTAAAGCGTGGAGCTGGTGTGCTCAGCATCATGAAGATGCTTGGTTTCTGTTTCTCTAAGTGCCCCTTTCTTAGGATGTGGAATAACTCAGTCTTTTCTCCTCCACTAAGGACCATCAGTAGTTACAGGTTAACTTTGTATGGGGGGGAGGGGGCTATTTCCTTTTCCTCCACCTACCTCAGGGTGCCACTGTTGCTCTCTGTAAGATTAGCACAGACATACAGGACAACTAGCCAGATTCCACACAAATTGACATTTTTAGTCACCCAAAGCTATCCCAGATTGGGGCACAGATCTGAACAGAGTGTCCCCCAGCGACCTCATTTAACAGTGGCTCACAGGCGCTCACACACAGGCGCTCACACCTCTGCTAAGCAAGGGAGGGGTCAGTTTTTGGATACGGGCAAGGAGGTTCTGCCTGTACTAGAGACACATGTGGACTGCTTTTCCCGATGAAATAATCAAGAATCCCTGTGCTTATTTAAATAAGGGCTACTAACCTGAAAAATAGTTCATTGAAAGATAACAAGTACATACCATGACAGGATGGGACATGGTTTTTAAAATGTGTGTGTATAATACGATGAAATAGTTACATGAAACATTCACATATCTCACTTCACTGCTTCTTTTACAATGAGGACATTCAGAATCTACTCCCACAGAGGCAGCTGCCAGAGGCTGGGCTGGGAAGCAAGGGGGCATGCTGGCCAGAGGACACAAAGCTGTTACCCAAGAAGGGAAGTTTCTAGTGTCCTGTTGCACAGCAAGGTGACCACAGCTCATAACAACATATTGCATATTTCAAATACTTGCTTTCAATAACAAAACACTGACTTTTCAGTGAGAGCAGCAACCCATACCTACTAGTTCTAAGTGCTAGGTCCTGTGACTCTTACATTTTTGAAGTCCCCATAGGTTTACAAGGGACAGCCAGCTACTCCATAGGCAGAGTAGGCCTATGCCCGCCTGGTAATGCAGTGCCTGCCGGCCTCCCTCCCCTCAGGGATGCTGTGGGCTGCTCACCGGCTGAGTTCTCCTGCTTGAGACAGTGGATGGAGGTCCTCTGGGTTTTGGGCTGGAGCAGCAGCAGGAGCATGGGTTCCAGGATGCGTGCCACGTCCCCAAGGGAGAGTGCACGCACCAACCAGCCCTGGGCAGCAGCACTGATGGCACCATCTGTGCAAGCCAGGCTATCCAGGACGACAAACAAGGACCTATGGACAACAAACAAAGCCACTGAGGCCCCACTCTGCTTCCCCCGCATGCCAGGCATCATGTCCTACACTGAGCTCCTGTTGTTGAACAAAGACACACCAGGGAGTGTCATCATGCTGGCCTTATAGACCAAGTGAGTGACAGGCTGTGTGCCTGGATGAGGCTGTGCTTTGAGAGACACAGTGGGTACACGGAGAAGAGCGAGCAGAGTAGAATATACCAAAGAATATGACATCTTAGGCATGCAGCTGATGCTGTAACAAGTGAGGTGTGCACTCAAGGCCTGGGCCATCTGCATCCCCAGGGTGTCTTCTCACCAGGGCAAGCTGCAAGCTTCAGAGTAACTCTGAGGCAGGGTGGGCTCCTCACCCCCACCACTTGAAACACTTGTGGGCTGAATGAGATGACAGGACTGCGGACACCATGCCCCGTGCAGCGTGGACTGAGCTAAGCACAAGGCCACAGACCCATCACATCTCTCCCTCCGAGCCCAACACAAGACCGGGAGTCTGCACTTGGCTGAGAATGGTGGATTGCAATAAGGGCCGCCTCACCTGTCAAATGAGCGGTTGTGAGATGTCACGCGGCTGCCCTGGGTCTCTCGTGTCAGGTGCCAGATCACGGAAAACCTGAACAGAGCTTCCAGCCTTGTCCCCTTGATCAGGAAGAAAATGGGAAGATCTTGGTCTCATCCTAATCCTGACCATTCACTGCAAGGCTTTTATTTGTAGCACGATGTGAGTGTGTGGCGGGGGGGGGGGGGGGGGGTGTGATTGTTGAGCCCTGCACTACTCCAAGCAAAACCCTGCCCTCTTTCAACTTTTTCTGTTTTAATTCTGACCCAGGGTCTCACTAAGCTGTGCAGGCTGGCCTTGAACCTGGAATCCTCTTGCCCCAGCCTTCCCTGATAGGATTAAAGCTAAACCTGTCCATTAGGTTCAGCTCCAAGTTCCATTTCAATAATGAACACAGGGCCAGAGAGATGGTCCAGAGGGTAAAAGGGACTTGCAGCCAAACCTGGTGACTTGAGTTCAATATTGGGGACCCACCAGGGTAGAGAAAATTGAATCTGCCAAGATGTCTTTTGACTTCTACACAGGTGCTGTGACATGCACACAAATAAATGTAAAAATATTTAAACAGCCGGGCGTTGGTGGCACATGTCTTTAATCCCAGCTCTCGGGAGGCAGAGGCAGGCAGATCTCTGTGAGTTCGAGGCCAGCCTGGTCTCCAGAGCGAGTGCCAGGATAGGCTCCAAAGCTACACAGAGAAACCCTGTCTTGGAAAAAAAATTTTAAATAACAAATGAAGTAATTCACCACAGCAGAAAATAATTACAGCCAAGATATCAGGCTTTTCTGTGAGTCTTGACCAGAAAGGAAAAGACAGAGTCCATTCACTTCTCTTGATCTCTCTGCACAGTCCCAGCTGTCCCAGAGCTCACAGGGATGCTCCTGTCTCTGACTCTGCCTCTCAAGTGCACCAGCAGCTGGAGAGACAGCTAAGCAGTTAAGAGCACTTGTGGAGGACCCCAGTTCATTTTCTGGCACCTACGTGGTACTCATGACCACCTCCAACCCAACTGCAGTTCAAGGGGATCCAGTGCCCTATTCTGGCCTCCAGGGGCACCAGGAGCACAGAGTGCACATATAAACATGCATGCAAGCAAATCATACATATACAATAAAATTAAATAAATCTTTTAAAAGACGATTTGGCATCACAGTGTCCAGAGTCACACCCAAGTTCTATGGCCCAAGGAAAACACAGAATACATTTATTTGTGTACCCAGGAAATGTCAGGCGAATGGGCCTTAAAGAGCAAGGACAATTAATTGGCAGAAAGTTCTCAGAAGGCCAACAACTCTCTCTAACAAAGCCTTGCAAACAGCTCCAAAGGCTGGCAAGTCCCGGCTTCCAGAGAATCAGGGCAAGTTCCCAGGGTGAGCCTCAATATGGACACAACTGCATTTTTCAGGACCTTAAAAGGAATGGCTCAAGCTCCCCAGAATCTCCCAGCCCTAGGCTTCCCAATCACCTCTGCTCATCGGAACATCCGTCCTCTGAGCCTGGAAGAGACCTGGCCTGGGTGGGTCCAGTCTGCCATGGCCATGTAGAGTAGGGCAGACTCAGCAGCCTGTCGGCCACGGCAGAGGGTACAGGGGCAAGGTTCTCACCTTGTCAGGGTCCAGCAGGGCGTGGCAGATGATGTCCTCACAAATGTTGGCAGTTGGGGCCAGGCAGTGTAGGCGATAGAACAGCTCTACACAAGTGATGTGATGCTCTCGGGTCTCCTTGTTCAGCTGGTTCCAGAGCACACGAGCCACCCTCTGTGGGGGGAAAGGAGTGAGACGACTCCACACAGTAACACCTGTGCCTGTCCTCCTCCTGTCAGCCTGGCCCTGGGGTGCAGCTTATATTTATATTTGCTAAGAGAGACTCTTCAGGACCCATCGCCATGTCACCAAGGCACAGGACCAAGGGAAAAAACCACCAGCACCTCAGCCAACAGCCCCAACTCTCCCATCAGAGCTTGCTTGTAGGGTTAGAGCTACATGCCAAGAGAGGCTTCTGACCCCTGCCTGCCGAGGGGCACAAACCACCAGGAGCGGCGATCCAGAGATAGACCAGGCAACCCCAGGTTCCTCCCCCGCAACCCTCTGGTTGCCACTGGACCTTCACAATCCTTGAGCCAGTCTCCAGGACAACTTTCAAAAGACAGGCCTGAGGAAAAGGCCCACTGACCTATACACCCATGTTCCCGTTGAGAAATACCTGATAGAAATCCGTTTTCTCTGCAATGACCTTCAAGATCCCAGGAGCAATGGGAGGGACTGTCACCATCTGTAACTTGCCAAAGAATGGGTTGTTCCCAGAGGTTTTGTAGCGCTTCATCTTGTCTTCAATGACGAGAGCCAGGGACTGGGAGTGGTTTATCACCTCCAGCAGGGTGGCGATGGCTATGTTCTGCAGGGAACAGTCGTTCACGCAGCAGCAAATGGTCATAAGGGATTTCAGCCAGGATGGGAAGCTGCAGTCGCTGGCTTCTGGAAGGACACCAGACAGAGATCAGCAGCAAGCAGGTGAGAGCGGCTCCCCATTCAGACGCCACGGCACCCACTCGACAGTGACGCCCGTCATCTGTGGGTGACCTGCAGGGTGCGGCTCACTTGAAAAGAAGGCCTTCCTAGATATACTCAGGTTAAGATGAGCCTCATCAGGGCCGGCCTTGCTATGGTTGAGAAACTGCGTTGCCCCCAGAGGCTCCTGTGGGGACATCTGATATCCAGCTGGGGGCGCTGTTCTGGAGACAGGTCAGTTGGATGTGAACCTGTTAAGGCCTGCTGGTGTCTCTATTGTCTGCTTCCTGATCTGCCTGGATGTAAGGGGTGGCCACTTAGGTCCACCTGTCCCAGCTGTTGTCCCTTCCCTGTTACCAGAGATATACTCCTGAAACCCTCAACTAGAACAAACCTCTGCAGGATAATTGGTCACAGCAGCAGAACAACAGCATTAACTAATGCATCCCTAAGCGTGCCTGGCACTCTCACTAAAGGAGCAGTCTATGTGAAGACAGACTAGAGTGATGTAGCTGTGATCCAAAGACTACTGGCCACCTGGAAGTCATGGAGGTTTGTACCCACTTGCAGACGGACAGAGTGTGGGTCTGTTGACACCTTGCTCTGGGACTTCTGGTCTCTAAACCCAGCTCTGTGACAGCAATCATGGCAGATGGGCAGCTGCTGGGCACCTTACATGAGTCAGACCCCTGGGTGGGCCACATAGGTCTACAGACACAGACGCCGAGAACCTGCTTGCCAGGGGAAGCCAAGGAGTCAGCCGAGCTAACACTGATGAAGCTACTTAGGAACAAGAAAGGAAATGAGTGTGGAGCCTTTGGTGTCTGGTGTGCTTCTGATCCAGGAGTTTTCAGATTTGGGGATGTCTGCAGAGTTTATGGAGTGATCTTCCCTAATCTAAAATGACCCCAAATCATGTGCCAGTACCTGACTGGAGGCTTCCCCGGTCCCCCTTCTTGGTGGCCATGACTGTACGTAGTTAGACATTAGGCCTCTATCGCAGATTCCCAACCGCAGACCCTGCACTGGGAGGGCCACGCTCTCACCTGAAGTCTGGAAGAGCATTTCACACAGCTGCTCAGTCTCCTCTGCAGACAGGTAGACAGGGAAGGTGGCACAGTCCAGCAGCAGGTGGCAGGCGGCGGCGAAGGCCTCCCTACAGTCCTCCTTAGAGCCCACCAACTCAATGACCACCTCATCAATGTCCCATTCTGCTTCTGCTTTCCTGTGGGGACTACTGGGCACAGATGACATTGACTCTGAACTTTTTGTCTTAAAGGGGGACCCCCGTGCTGTGAACAAGTCCGAAAGCATTTGCTTAAACTGGGGCACAGTGATGGGTTTGGGGTCCCACGAGCTCTTCCTGCCAGAGTGGCTGATGCCCTTGTCGCTCTTCCCTGGGGGCTCCTCAGGTTTGCTTTCCTCCCCAGACACTGTCAGTGATGCTGCAAAAATGTTCTTGCTGGCAAAGTTGGCGATGAGCTCCTGGATGCAGAGAAATGTCCTCTGCATGGTCCCATCTTTCTTCCAAATGTCGTCTCTTTCGGCAGATACCCGAGGCACCCTTAGGCGCTCAGAGAGCTCCGGTGATGAGGCGCTGAGCCCGATCCCACTGTCTTCAGATTTCAGTGGGGGGAAGGGAGCCTCTTCATCACTTGCCTTTGTTTCTAAAATGATGTCACTGCTTTCTCCTTTTACTGGACTCTGTGAAACATAAAAAACAGCCATATCCCAACCCTTACTGCTCTTCCACTGTGGTTAAAACATGACGATGGCAGTAACCACAATAATCTGGTTTCCAGACCTGAAGTTGTCTCTCTAGATTCTTGCCTTCCCTGCCTCCCCACCCCACCCAGCATGGTCAGCATGGAAGAACATGTATGGATCACTTGACATCCTTTAACTGACAACAAGGTGGTCACCTCTAGCAATGGTCAGCTGTGGGCTAAAATCAGGAGCCATCTAATCTCCTTCCCAGCTCCGTTCCAGGGAAACTAAGAAGGGATGGCCACTCTGCCAATGGGCCTGAGCTCCCCTTGGAGGCCCAGCATGCTTCGGTCCTCCTGTCTGTCTCCAGCCTTACCAAATTATCCAAGCTCTCTCCCCTAAAGAGTCATCTGCCTTAGTATCCCCTTGAGCTCCAAACCCATAACCGTTTAGCTGCTTTGGCAATGCCTCTCACAGTTTCAAAGGAGCAATCCTGCCTTCCAGTTGCAGTCCACTGACAAAACTGCATCCCCCGGAAACACATGCACCCACCTCCAGGCTATACGAGGATGCACACTGCAAACCTTCTCCATACTGAAAACCAAGGGGATCTAGACATTTGGTCATGGAAACAGTTACAGTACAAGTCCACATCACAGGGAGGCATGCAGAAATTACAGAAGAAGATGCTGCTATACCAAACACACCAGGCTAAAGTCTGAGAGAAAAACAAAGTGACCACACTGTGGCTATGATGAACTGGGTCCCCCAGAGAGGTGCTCAAGCCCTAACCTCCACAGCCTGTATTTGAGGAAAATGGCTTAGCAGCTGATCAAGTGTGGGACATCTATCTGGGCAGCCTAAATCCAAACAGGCTGCTGTCTTCATAAAAAGGGGAATCCAGACACAGATTGCACACACAGAACACCACCTGCACAGAAACGCAGAGATGGGGTGAGGTGTCGTGGTAAATTCCAAGAACCCTGAAGTAACCACAGAAGGCCAACAAGCCTAGGAGAATCTTACAAAGGGGGTCTGGGGCAGATTTTTTAATCTACCTTAGGAGAAAACAACCTGGAGCTCCAGACTGAGAACACGGATGTCTATGCTCTAAGCCACCCTGCCAATTGCAGGCATACTCTGCTTGCATTTAAACTCGCATGCACACAAACTTGCAATGGAAGGGCTGCCTGTAGCTGTTAGTGCTGTCTAGGCCGTTCGTGGTGGCTAAGGGGCATGGGAGTGGGCGAAACGGAGGAAATGAGCTCAGGCCAAGTTTCCCGGACACAGTGGCTGCACAGCTCCTTCTACGTGTTGCTATGGAAACCATGCCTATTCCCTCCCACTTGCCAGAGGCACCAACAGGGCTTCAGTCCTGGGGCACATACCGAGTTCCCACTGCTGGCCGCCATGTCTAGGTAGGAGGGAGGCATCTGGACTTTGCTCAGCACCTTGAAACATGTCTTCAAGGCATGTGTGAGCTCAGCCAAGCTCAGGGCTTCCACCTCCTCAGCAAGAGGCTGCAGTAGGCAGCCAAGCACCTGTGGAAGGTATTGTGTCTGCACCTCAGAGTAGAGTTCCTGCAACACAGAAGGACCAACCAGTCACTCACCATCGCCAGCCACAGCAGGAAAGCAAGAGCCTCAGAACAGCACCTTGACCATTTGGATTTCAGAGTCTGAGTTCCCATTAACCCCAAACCAAGAACGTTGTCCTCGCCTTTCAACTGGCATGATCTTCTCTTGGATAAAGAACTAAAACTGCCACGTGCACCACACATTAACTAGCAAATGTGTTTACTGTCACCTCTAAAACTGTCCATGATCTGGTCTCCATACTTTGGCTCAGCCTACTACCAGGCCCAGAATTGACAATCCTTTTAATTAAAACAACAAAAAAGAGCTGGGCAGTGGTGGCGCTCACCTTTAGTCCCAGCACTTACCAGGCAGAGGCAGGTGGACAGGTGGATCTCTGTGAGTTTGAGGTCAGCCTGGTCTACATAGCGAGTTCCAGTCGGGGAAGTTACATAGATAAACTCTATCTTGAAAAACAAAAACAAACAAAAAACCAAGCAAAAAAAAAAAAATATGAAGCCTCAGAGGAGAGTAGCAAGTGTGTGCTCAGGAGGCAGGAGGCCCTGGGATTGGTCCTATCATGAGAAAGAAATGTGAGATTACATTGGCTACACTCTGACAGAAGAGGAAACGGTACAGTGGATGTGCAAGAGCATGGGGTACACCTACCAAGGGAATTACATCCAGCAGGAACACGAGGAGGGTGCAGAGCTCAGCGACGGTGGGGGGAGGGCCGATGGCTTCTCCAATAGCTGTCTGCGTCACTGGTCTAGGTCAATCACAGGGTAGAAGGTTAATTCTCTCTCCCATGATCTCTGCAAATCCCTTTTTTTTTTTTCCTTTCTTTCTGTTTGTTTATTCAAACAAACAGAAAGGTCTCTCTGTGTAGGGTCTCTCTGTGTAGCCCTATCTGTCCTGTAACAGACCTGGCTGGACTTCAATGCAGAGAGCTGTCCCTTCAATGCAGGGAAGTACTCTGCTTCCCAAGTACTACAACTGAAGGCTGTTTTTGTTTTTCGAGACAAGACCTCACTAGAGTAGCCCTGACTAGCTTCAAAGGCATTAGAATTACAGGTATGTGCCAGCATGACTGGCTCAATTTCAAACACCTTATGGTTTCCAGCAATTATTCTGCATCAAACACAGTGGAAGACAGTTTTTGTGGTTCTCACTCCTCAGATTTGCTGGCAGACTGTCTCATGTAGAGAAGCACACGCAGGCACCCTGCTTGAATGTCTTGGAGACAAACTGCTTCTGACTTAACCTTCATCTGTTCAGGTGTGGACTCATCATCTAACAGACACACAGTGATGTCACTGTGTATGGCTGCAAGTCCCTAGAGACAAACCAAAGACTCGTTTTCAGGGGAACAGGGACCGGCCTATGTCACACATGAGTCAGAGACTTTTTTTTTTTTTTTCTGTATTTTGTTTTGTTTTGTTTTCTGTCTGTTGTTTTTGAAACAAGATCTTACTATATAGCCCTTCTGACATGGAACTTGCTCTGTAGACAAGGCTGGCCTTGAACTCACAGAAATCCTCCTGCTTCTGCCTCTTGAGTGCTGGGGGTCAAGGGTGTACACCATCACACTCAGCTTATGTTTTACTTTTGGAAGTCCCCCGAGAGACACCTACGAGATGGATTCTGGAGAAGCACAGGGTAAGCCATTTGCGCCTAGCTTCAGGGAGGCAGAGGGGCGCTGACTAGCAGCAGAGGAGTCAGGCGTGCTTGGGTTCTGATTCTGGGGTCTGCTGATCTGCGTGTCTAGGCCAGACCATTTATGTCACTGGGCTCTAACTATCTCACACATCCACAGCATGAAAGCAAAACGCCTGCTTCTCATGAGGCTGCCCAAAGGATTCAGGCATGGACACGCATGCTCCAGGCCCCTGAAGAACGGCATGGGATCACCAGCCCACGTGATAGTCACCGCCCCATTAACGGGGACACAAGGCTCATCTCGATAGCTTAAAACACAAACACTTTGAAGCATGTCACACTAACTTCAGCACCAGAGACTGCACCTGTGCCCAGGGGGGCAGACAGGGCTTGCAGGAAAAGCTGAAGTGACAAGGCAAGAGACCAGGGGCAGAGGGCTTTCTAGAGCTAGAACCTAGTGAGCAAGGAAGTGCCTAGCATCCTTCAACACAGATGCAATCTCCGTCCTGTTAGAGTCTTACCTCACTCCCATCCCTGCCTCACTGGGCTCTGACGCTCAGGAGAGACCCGGCCCTCCATGCAGCCCCCACTCCCCAGCGCCTGCTCCCCGCTCACACATTATCACCTGAAGCATTCCTCGAAACACCGTGCCATGTAATCCCACAGAAAGTCTGTGCTGAGCAAGGAGACCAGCAGATTGACCGTCTTCACAATCTCGGAGGCATGTCTGTTTTCTTTGATTGTGCTGTAGAGGAGGAAAAGCATCGAGACACACTGATGGAAGATCCATCCGAATTACAGATCGTGGTGAAGAAGTGGCGCCACCACTCTGCTCCCAGTCTCTGACAAACTCTGATCAAGATACAAATGTTGCCGTTTCAATCATAGGAAAGTGTTTCCACAATGCCTCCCTAAATAATAGCTGCTAAAACATGTTTCACCTCTCCTTTGACAGTTTTATATGTACACACAATGTGCCACCATCAAGCCAGCTTCACCCCCTACTGCCCCTAACATGTCCCTCTCACCTTCTTTTCCTAAACAACCTACTAAGTCAATTATCACTGCCTGTGAGCATGGGCAATGTGCCAACAGCCACATCCCTGAAGAAAATGACTTCCTGGCTAAAGAGTGTTCTTACAGCTGGATCTCTTAGAAGCAGACATAACAGTTATTGTGGAAAGAACATGACAGTCAGCACTGGTGCCCACCCCACCCTACTTCATCCCCCCCAACTATAGTTTCAGCAGGGAGATTTCACCGCAATTTTATGTATTTACTTACTACGATGACGATGTCAAACCCAGGCCGTGGGACATACTAGACAGGTTCTGTACACTGAGCTACACGCCCAGCCCATCACTAACAATTTCAAATGTGTATCTGCAGCTCGGTAAAGCCCTCTAGGCAACACTACAGAAATCCTTACACGGGTACACAAAGATACACGACTTTGACCACTTGGAAACATGGAAAAAGTGGAAGCCACCTGAAAGGTGGTGTCAGTCAGTAAGAGAGAGCCTGGTCATTTCAAGATCGACTTAATGACAAGTTCCTGATGAGGAAGCTATTGCCAGAGTAAAACAGTGGAGAGTGAGTCACAGCTGCACCGAGGACACCGTGGAGCTCCGTCTCCGGCTGGGATGGGGCTGATGCAGGTAGGAGGGTCAGGAAAGAACTGGAGACCTTTTCCCTCCAAGGCTGGTGGGGTTACAGGAGACAGGATTTTTTTTTATGTTGTTTATTGATAGCTTCAAATATCAGGGTATTCTACAATAAACATCTATTGCTTTCATATTTTAAAAAAATCTTACTTTTTGAGAGAAAAAAACACAACAGACTCCTCAGGATAGTTATAATAAACCACAAAAATATGAGAATTAAATTTAGTATACACAGTGCTGATCCAGGCAGAAAGCAAACATTTACTGGTAAAATGTAAAGAGGTGGCTTATTTATTTACTTATTTGTGTACAGACAAGGTCTCAAGTAGTCCAGGCTGGCCTCAAACTCATTTTGTAGCCGAGGATGACCTTGAACTGACGGTTAATAGCATCTTGATCCTGCCCTCAGTGTCATGCCCTGGGTTCTCCTCCACCTCCAAGAACTGCCACGCCCCATTTCTGAGCTTCCTTCCTGTCTCCAGTTCTCCTTCTCCCTGGGCCTCACCACTTGTGCACTATAGATCAAGTTGCCTTTGCTGAATGACTTTCATGCTTGATCAGTAACACCCCCGATTGCAGGCTAGGAGGGGACCAGGTCAGGGTCTCCCACGTTCCTAAGGAGGGGTCATCCATGGTGCTCTGACACATGGCCGGCCCATCCTTTCTAACCCTTGATGATTCATACTGAAGAACAGAGGACCATGGAGAGGGCCATGGAGGAGGATCACAGAGGGGGGAACAAAGGGGGGGGGGGGGGG